TCATTTATTATGATTTTTAAAATGTTTTCCACGTTGATAGGTGAGAAATTTTAATTTGCCTTCATCTGCTTATTTAGAGGTTGAATAAGATTTTTTGGCATTTAAAATTTTTTCTTTGATAAATTTTTGAGGAACATACCATGATATTAAATGGGCTCTCCATTTTATTCTTTTTCCATGATAACCCAAATAATCAAAAATATAAAATTATCTTTTTATGATCATCTTAATGAACAAGATTCAAGGTCAGCCATTTCAGAGCCTGTACAGAGAAACTGTTCTTTCTAAATGACCTTGTTTCAATGAGACTTCATTTCCATTACATAGGAGAGGACTAATAGCTCCTGTGTGGGTACATGGAGATTTAAGGGGCTAGTGTAACAGACATGAATTTTCATTTGCTCTGAAAAATAACATAAGGCTCTCCCAGCACTCTGCCAAATGCTTTTCATGTCCCTCTAATTTTTCTCTTTCAAAAAAGTATAATAAGCCTTTTATATAGAACCAGCAGGAAATATAGTTTTGATTTCAAAACACTGGAAAAATAAAAATGAAAACCTCATCATTTCTCTAAGTACAAAGGACCTTACTAGTCTGGGAAATTTATCATCCATAAACCACATATGAAAAATTTCAAAATACATTTGCAGTAGAAGCCAAAAATCTCCACACCTAGGAGCTGCTGATGTGGTATTATTTGTTGTTGAATTATTTTTAGTTCTGCTAGCTGAGATGAGCCATTTTCACATTATTTGCATTCCTCTTTTTTGTAATAATTAGCAATTCTGTTTCACAGTCAGCAGTAGAGCCTATTTCATGGCATCAACATTAATTTACAACAAAGGTTAGGCTATTATTCAGGTAGTGAAACATTATTGTAAACTCTGCTTAGCAAAAAAGGTCTTTTAAAAGTCATTTTAGTAAAATTTTAACTGCAATATTTGAGGTTTGATATTTTTTGTTTATTTATTTATTTTGAGACAGGATCTGTTTCTGTTGCCCGGACTAGAGTACAGTGATGTCATCATCATAGCTCACTACAGTCTCAAACTCCCAGGCTCAAGTGATCCTCCTGCCTCAGACCTTCCAAGTAGCTGGGACTACAGTTGCATGCCACCATGCCCAGCTAAGTTTTCTATTTTTTTGTAGAGATGGGAGTCTTACTGTGTTGCTCAGGCTTGTATTGAACAGGCCTCAAGTGAGCCTCCAGCCTTGGCTTCTCAAAGTGCTAAGATTACAAGCACAAGCCACTATGCCTAAACTCTATATTCATTTTTTTGGCTGAAATGTTGAAATCATCATTCAGAAATTTACAGCAGTTTGTTAAGTCAATATGGAACTATTTTACAGATACATTAAATTTTGCTTATCTGATAAAGAGTAACTGAATTTTAAACCAGTGTTACATGGCAAGATTAAATATTACTAGAGAAAAACATTTTTGGTATTGAGTGTTCTAGACCATCTGGTAAACAAAGATGGTGGGCAAAGTTAAATCACAGGAAGCTCTTTGTAACAGGCAGATTATCTATTATAATTTGAGAGAAAAAATCCTAGGGGAATAAGAGTAGTCTTAATTTGATAAAAGTTGAGCTTGAACACTTCGAAAGTAAAAATAAGTGACTTGGAAAAAGTGATTTCAAATAACCAAGAAAAAATTTTGAAGAACTTTGATAACTGTAAA